GGTTTTTATTTGCATTTTCCTGTTGATTAGTGATGTTGAGCATCTTTTCATGTACCTGTTGGCCATCTATAAGTCTTCTTTGGAAAATGTCTATTCAGGTCCTCTGTCCATTTTCAATCAGATTATTTGGGGTTTTTTTTAGTGAATTATTTGAGTTCTTTATATATTTTAGATATCAGAGGGTGTGCTTTAAACATTTAAATCCAATCCATCTGTATCTCCTACTCTCCACGATCACCTTCCACTTTTTTTTTTTTAGGCCAACCTTGAACATACTCCATCTTCATTTTCCTACTTTCCTTTATTCCGTACAGTTTCCTTTGCCTGGAATGTTCTGTCTATTGCTTCTTTAACCTAGGAAAACTTTTCATTTCCCCATATCTACTTATTCCTTCTCTGTGCACCCTCTTTTAGACTGCATTATGGCAGAGCTGGTACTCTTATCTCTTAGCCCAAATGCATGTTCTATCCCACACCCTTTTTAAAACCTTAGAACATTTTAATTCCTTTTTCCATGCCTGATTCTCTGATTAGTCAGTGAGCTTGCCAAAAGCAGGGTACCATATTTTTTGTCTTTGTATTCCAAACACCTAACAGTGCCAGGCACATTCAATGGGCACAGGAAATATTAGACATGTTTGATAAAAGGAAGAAAGAACAAATGAACAAAAAAAAATGGGCTAATAAAGGAATGATGGGGAGATTAAATGACTGAGCAGTGAATCTCTTTTCCGTGCCTTATCGCTGAGTATCACTAGCTAAACACTTCTACTTGAAGTCACACATCACCAAAAATGTGGTAAAACGCAGACTAGAGCAAGGACTGAAGAGGCCCAGCTGAAAACTGTCTTAAGAACAGAATGGTGTTTGCTGTAGTGCTACTCTTGACCAATGAAAGCAGTACAAACTGCCCTAAAAATTAAGAACCCAGGGACTGCACTAAACCTGCCTTTTACTTTCCACCTCTGACTTCAAATAAACACCATCAGAAGTTACTTAAAATACTCTTAAGCCTCCATTTCTTCTTTTGTAAAATGAGGATGGTAATGATATGCAGACTCATGAAATTAGAACTCAGGACAAAAACACTCTACTTCATGTGGAAGTACACAGCATAGGGCCGATCACCTCGAGGTCAGTAAATCTACATGGCCCTGCTTTCTCTTATAGCCATAAATTTTGAACCTAACCTATCTTTTGTAGTAGATTGCTATGGCAGAGACTGCAGGATGCTCCCAAACCTCTGGGGACACAACCAGAACACATTTCCCAGCCTCCTTTGCAGTTAGGTGCGGTCTTGTGACTCAGTTCCAGCCACGGAACAGGAGTGGAAGTGATACATGCCACTTTCAGGCCTGGCCCATAAAGACCACCTCTTCCCTGGTCTCTTCTGTTACCTAGAATGGAGACCAGACCCAGGAAGGCCAATTGGACTTACTTGTAGAAAATGGCAAAGCCTCCTTCAGTCTGTGTTCCCCAAAAGAGATGCTCGCCAAACAGTTCACCTGCCTACTACTTTTACTTGATCAGGAAGTTATCTCCACTTTTTCTTGGACGATTTCACATGAATGAGAGTGGATGGTATTTTTCTAACTAATATAATTGCACCCTCCTTTAGGGCAGGATACACAGCACTGAATAACAACACAGAAGAAGAAGAGTACTTGGTAAATAATATATGTCAATAAATGCTTCTAAAAGAAAAGAATAAATGCATGACCATGTCAGCTAATGAGTGCCAGTACTGAAAACTTGTCCTTGAATTTGAATTTGCAGACCTTCTCAAAATTGACTATAAAAACAGTGTTCAAAGTATTATATATATATAGTTCCTGGCTTTCCTGCTGTGTAATTCTCAGCACATACTGATTTTGAAGCTCAAATCTTTGCAATTCCCTGATACATAATGCTATTTCTCAGAATAATGAAGCAGGAAGGTCCCCTATGCCCACAACTGTACCCATGGTGTAGGACCTGTGATTTTCTTTAACCACAGGTATCTGTGTTTGCTCAGGCATTCATTATAGTGTATGGGATGTTATTTAATCTCTAATGAATCTTTCCTTGACTCTTTCCTTCCTTCTTAGGGAACTCAGTTGAGTCTCCTGTAAATGCCATGTTGGTATCACTATTATAACTACTTCCCATGATAATTCTCAGAATTAACCCACCTGATTTCTACTGCCCCTCAAATAAGGGAAGCAAGTTAATTTCATGACCCTTAGATCTGCACAGTGCCAAGTGAGTCCTTCTATAAAGGTTTCATGTAGTACTTAGGGTCTGAATCAATTATTCAACTGTCAAGTGTCTACTGAAGGCCTTCCAAGTGCTTTTTGCTGGTGAGAAACTGATGATCTAGTTGAGAAAGTACAAATAATCAAAGGAGCATAGTAACTGAATTTTGATGTGGACCTTGGATATATTGAGAAAAGCACCCATATTTTGCATTACTCCAATTTATTCACTCCACCATTTATTTAATGAGTATTAAGTTCCAGGCTTTATATTCTAGAAGCTGGAGATGTATCAGTGAATAAAACAATGTCCCCACTCTCACGAAGCTCTCAACCAATCAGTCTACTCATAATTCAATCAAATACATGAGGGCTTTTTCTGACTTTGCACATGCTGTTCCTTTACCTAGAATGCTCTGGTACTCCACTCCTCCAGCTCCATCGGTTCAACTTTCTGCATTTGGCAACAACTGCTTCCATTCAAAATTCTGCTCTGGTAGTTCTTTTTCTACTGTGCTCCTGTGATAGTCTTTTTTTTTTAAATTAAAACATGTCCTACTCTGTGTACCTTGCATTAATTTTCTTTTTACATTTGTCATGTTATAATTAGGAACGTATAGACATTTACTTTGCCTTATTTATCTTCAGGTCCCAGTGCCTGGAATCCAGAACTGGCACACGGTCAGCAAACGCTTGCTGTCCTGAATTCAACTGCAAAGGAGGGAGTCATAGCCCAACAAAATGGAAGACTTATTTGGTAGCAGAACTGAACTACATTCATGCCCTTGCCCAGATGAATCGAACTCACTGCCACAGACCATGTGGTTTTCAGGAGTTCTGCGTGGAGACAAATGTTAGTCCTTCACCTCAACTGGCAGACTGGAGGACACTAATCTGTCTACAGGTTGGCAATTATTTATGTTACTAATCTTTTAGTATCTTTTGTATTCAGGCTACAACTACGAAAGAATAAAGATATGTAAAACTAAAATAGCATGTACACAAGGAGGTCATAGTGTTGGGGGAGACAAGTAAACATATTAAAAGCCATAATATTTATCTTCATTCTTCTGCCACATTATAAAATCGTGTAAGGGAAAATTTGATTATTTTGAGACTTTCTGACTGCCTAGAACAGAAAGCTGGGTTCCAATAAAGTCTACTTAAAACAGACTCACTCCAGCACACTTTTCCAAGATTTTCCATGTCCTCATGTTCTAGTACAAATCTACAGCTTTTCATAACTTGTACTTGCTCATCATTACAGAATATTCTGCCCACAGCTAAGATTCATTTACCAGCTAACAGCTCTTCCTTAATTTATTATTTTGGTAAATACACTTATTTGTTTTATCTCAATAAATTACTAAATGTTTTCTATGCACAATTTCATGTAATCCCTAAGGAGAACACTTTTATTCCTCATTTCACAGATGAGAAATCTAAGGCCTGTAGAGATGAAGTGCATTAACTAAGGTCACCCAACAAGCATTTTTCAGACCCAGGATTAAAACTCAGGTTTTTCTAGAGTCAGAGCTTATGTTCTTTTTTTTGGTATCATTAGTATACAATCACATGAGCAATATTGTGGTTACTAGATTCCCACCATTATTAAGTCCCCACCACATACCCCATAACAGTCACTGTCCATCAGCATAGTAAGATGCTATAGAGTCATTACTTGTCTTCTCTGTGCTATACTGCCTTCACCATGCCCCACCTCCAAGTTATGTGTGCTAATCATAAGGCCCCTTATTCCCCTTCTCCTTCCCGTCCCACCCACTCACCCCCAGTCTCTTTCCCTTTAGCAACTGTTAGTCCATTCTTCGGTTCTGTGAGTTTGCTTCTGTTTTGTTCCTTCAGTTTTTGCTTTGTTCTTATGCTCCACAGATGAGTGAAATCATTTGGTACTTGTCTTTCTCCACCTGGCTTATTTCACTGAGCATAATGCCCTCTAGCTCCATCCATGTTGTTGCAAACAGTAGGATTTGTTTTCTTTTTATGGCTGAATAATATTTCATTGTGTACATGTACCACATCTTCTTTATCCATTCATCTACTGATGGACACTTAGGTTGCTTCCATTTCTTGGCTATTGTAAATAGTGCTGCGATAAACATAGGGGTGCATATGTCTTTTTGAAACTGGGATCCTGCATTCTTAGAGTAAAATCTTAGGAATGAAATTCCTGGGTCAAATGGTATTTCTATTTTTAGTTTTTTGAGGAACTCCCATACAGCTTTCCACAATGGTTGGACTATTTTACATTCCCACCAGCAGTGTAGGAGGGTTCCCCTTTCTTCACGTCCTCACCAGCATTTGTTGTTCCTAGTCTTTTCTATATTGGCCATCCTAACTGGTGTGAGGCAGTATCTCATTGTGGTTTTAACTTTCATTTCCCTGATAATTATCTATGTGGAGCATCTTTTCATATGCCTGTTGGTCATCTGAATTTCTTCTTTGGAGAAATGTCTATTCATATCCTCCACCCATTTTTTTAATAGGGTTATTTGCTTTTTGGGTGTTGAGGTGTGTGAGTTCTTAAGAGCTTATGTTCTTTTTACCATATCAGAGTTCAGAATTTGCAAGTGGTAGCACTGTGCATGTGCCAGGAGCTGGGGTAAGGGGCCATTAATTGCTTAGGAAAACAAAATGTGCTATCACTGGATTGATAGAAAAATCATATTATTTTCAATGGAGACTTTGATATGTCTATTTATTCATATGCCACTCTGGGCCACCAAAAAAGCCACCAGATATTACCACTGTGAATGACCATCCCTTTAATAAGCTGGGTTAAACAGTCAATTGTCTGTGTAAACATGAAATCGTTTTTTGAAGTGAAAGGCACTGGTGCAAGAAGAAAAAAAAATGGGCTTTGGGGTTGCCAGCTTTCAGGGCCATTTCTGAAAACCCAGTAATTATACTTACTTGATATCACCGTTAATGACAAGCATCCTTAGAACTTATTGAAATGCTGAGATTCATGGGATATTTGGTGAGAATGTACACAGCTTCCTCTTATATCCAGATGGCTCCTTTAGAGGCCAACCTTTTAAAATTGTCTAGCCTGCTGGAGCTGAATAATTTTGTAAACGAAGAATTTAAAGGTTTAGTGTTTTGTACAGCCAATGACCTTGAGAACACTGGGACAGCCAGTGAGAAGCTTAAACACACTCCTGAAGAGACAAAAAGAGACATCATTAAACAGGTGCTTATAACTGCTGCCCTCTTCATTTGCTCATTTCAGGACTTTAATCAGCTCAGTTCCAACAGCCAGCAAAGGAAAAAAAACCTTCCCTTTTAACTTGCTTATTGAAATAGAAAGCAAGTTTTCTTTTTTCTTGCTGGTTCCTGAAACCCTTTACTTCCAAACAAAACCTGCTGGGAGAAGTTTTCTTTCTTTCTTGGGAGACAATGATTTTGGAAACAGAAAATGATGGACTTTCTTTGTGTTTGGAGGATTTGGGAGGGGGACACAGTGCATTGATGTAGAGGCTCTATTAGGGAATGTCCTCTGTCCTGGACAGCCCTCCAGGACCCGTGCCATAGAAACCTGCTAGGCTGCAGGCCAGAGAACTGATAATAGTTAAGGGGCAAGATGAAAGCGAACCACACCTCAAGCTGTCTTCCTTTCCCTTTAAGTTCTCAAGGATAAATCACAGCCATTGTTACCCCAATATTAGTGAGTCAGAGACTTCAAAGAAGATTTTTCTGTAACTTAAAAGAGTAGGTTTAATAATAGGGAAAAATTCCATTTATATCCAATGTAAAGATACATTCATTTGTCCTTCTCTTATACTTAAAAAACCTTTATGCATCATTAATTATCCATGCAAATCTGGCCCACATCCCATATTCTCCTATTTGATTCCATAGCAAGGTGGGTAAAATTTCAGCTTAGTATATAACCAGTCCCTGTACTCTCATTATTGGATTAAGAACTCATGTAGCTTGCCTTGAAGGACCTTAGATGAGGTGAGGACTCTTAGTCTCCTTGATTCCATTGATAACAAAAAATAAACCTCATATTTTAAAAACATCTTTAAAACAGTAATAAATTACATTAAGAAATATTTATTTCCATGAAAACAGAAAAGCAAAACAAAGCCAGAAAGTCAGTCTGCTAGACTCCTTTCAGATGGATTCAATATAAGGTTTATTGCTCTATTTTTCCCAAATGTTCATTCATTTATGTACCCAACAAAAAATGAGTACCCACTATGTGCCAAATATGAGGTCTCAGATGTCTAGTTAGAGGAAATGGAGAAATATACATACTGAACAATGAAAATATGCTGTGATAAGTCCTAAAATGGATGTAAAATAAATACTGCTGCTTTGGTCACTGAGGAAGGAAGGCACTTAGCCCATGAGAATGGGGCCATGAATGGGAAGCAAAGATTCAGGTCTGAGAGCAAGCAGGCTCCATTTAAGGCCCTATCAACAAACAGCTGGGTATGGCTGAAGCGTAGCTGTGAAATAGGGGAGCAGATGGCAGGCACATCCTGAAGTTGCTTAAAACCATGCTAACCTGAACAACTAGAAAGCAGAAGAGTGGCAGGACCAGTTCTGTGTTTCAGGCAGATGATTCAGACAGCCAAGGGCCAGGCAGATGGATGCATGGATCAAGGCTGAAGGGAGAAGAAGGCCTGCAGCCCACCCAAGGGAGAGCCTCGCTCTCTTTGGAATAATGGGAGGGTAGCATCAGCTCTTTCAGCCTTCCCTATTGTTACTTCTCACATGAAGAGCAAGTTCTCCAATCCCTCAGACTGGGAACAGCTGTGAGGAGTGGCCCTCAGCCCAGTCAGGGTTCTCCTGCCCTGGGATCTGCATGAGGGGAGTGAGCACACAGGTGTGGGACCCCCCCGGGGCAAGCCCTGACCCTGTGTGTGTTGGGAAGGGCAGTGCAGAGAGGGTGTGAGAGGAGCACTGTCCTCTCCTTATTCCCAGTTGGGTGAATAGCTCTGCAGACCTCATTTTGATTCAAGTAGGTTCCCAGGTACTGACTTAGAGGGCGAGGAGGGAGCCCGATGCCAGCCCTCGAGCTAAGCCACATGCTACAGCTCCACTTTGCCAGCAACATGAGGGTATTTTTATCTCTGTTTCCTGTGTCTGGTTTGTATTTGGCCCAAAATGCAGAGGGAAAAGGGCATGACTAACCAACCCTCCTGAGATTCCCCAGTAAGAGTCCACATCAAGCAAATGGGCACTGGGGACAATAATGAGGAAAGAGATTCTAGGCCTACTGAAGTGGTATCACCAGTAGGGGCATACGACCCTTTAAAACCATCACAAAACAACTAAAACACCTTAAAACTGAAAAGAGGAAACCCTGTTAAGTTAGCACTCTTATTTCTGTATTTCTTGATATTTTTTATGTATTTTTCACATGAAACTTTCTTGTATTGAAAAATGTATTCAGACTATCTTCTATTCCCCATATACTTCAATTTCTCTGATGAAAAACAATCACTCTGAAGGGGGCGGGATGCCATGTTTGGACACCTTTAATCTCTGCATTACCTGACAGGACGTTTATTAAGGATAAAACATTTCTTTTATCCCAGAGGCTGCCTCGGCAGTTGTTAAAATGGGGTGGGGGAGGGGAAAGAAAGCCTTTATCATTTCCTGATCTCTCCAGCAAATTGCCAATTTATGCACAGAATATTACAAATGCTGCTGAATTATTGGAGCCTGGAATTAATTTAGAGAATCTTCTCCTTCTTTGAGTGCCCAGGGATTTGGTTTATCTTTATTTGCTGAAGGAACCATGTCACTGAAAGCAGTCCCGGGATTATTTCAAGTGAATGAATAATGAAATTGCCCAGCTTTCTAATGGTTTCCAAATTCCATGACTAGTTCAGGATGCTCTCACGGGCTAGCTGATCAGCTGGGTCCTCTCACTGCGGGCAAAGCATGCCCAGACTGAGAACAGGGGCACCTGCGTGGAGTAATTAAAGCCAGTGAGGAAAACCCAGTGTTACCAGGGCTTACTGAAGGCTGCTTTGGAAAATGGAGAAAAGATATTTCATCTTTTAGACAGCATCATTAGGGTAACCCACCCAAAATAATCAATTACCAAAAGCGGCTATATTTTAATAATCCTTCACTAGCGTGAAATCCTTTAATCATGTCAGAAATCATTGCTCTAGCTAGAGGTAAGAATATGCCAAATGAGAGAGGACTTCTTGGTTTTAAAACAAGGGCAAATTTAGGGTGATAAACAGAGAATCCAAATAAATTATTGTTTCACATACGGTTTCTATGTACCATAGCTAACTGCCTAAAAACCCTCCCCTTACTCAGGCTGGTCAGTTGTATAACCTGTAACCATCTTGGTTACTTATTTCCTTTGCTTACTAAGCCATGAGTATTTATTGTGGGAAACTTAATATAAATACAAAAATGAAAACAAATATATGCTTAATCTGCAAAACCAGAGATACACACATTCAATATCTAGAGTATTTTGCTCCAACAATTAATTCTTCTACTTTTGCCAACACACACACACATAGATGAAACCAAAAATGTGTACTTTCTTTCTGCTTTTTCACATAGGTCATGAGTATGTGTGAAGTCCTTAACCATTTAAAGACAACTTCTGCCACACAATAATACTCTATCATATGTCCACAATACAGAATATAAGAAAATTTTATCCTAACTAATAGGATATCCTATTCTAATAGGATAAAATCCCCAGCATTCAAAACAGTGCCTGGCAAATAATAGATGTACAAGAAACATCTGATGAATGGATAAATGAATTAACATGATGGATGGATGGATGGATGGATGGATGGATGGATGGATGGATGAATGGATGATTTTCCCCTCAAAACAGGTGAATGTTCAGCTTGATAATACCAGTATGTCTGAAGCAGGATCCATCATAACAATTTTTCCATTTAATAAAGTCTGAGTTAAGCCTGGTCATGGCATTGTATTAACTCATTTTATTTTATACTATATATATATATATATATTCTATGGAATCCAAACAACACATCTCTTCTAGCAGACAAGTAATAGCCAGCTCTCTTGTTTGGTTAAAAAAAAAAAATCCAAGTCTTTTCTTTTAAGAGTATTCTGTTTTCTTTTCCTGTGACCAGCTAAATCAGAATGTTACCCAAGCATACTCATAACCTTCTCTCTTGGTATTTCTGATAATTCTGTTAAACTGGCATTTCAAGGCATTAAAATAAACAGTTGAAAATTCTACTGATTAAGCATTAAACCTAAGATATCATAAAATTGCTGTGTTCAAGGGGTTGCCATTTCTTGGCTATTCAGCTCTTTAGTGGCAATTTTGACACATTTGCTTTAATGTGTCATTTATGAAATATATATCTTAAATCAGCAGTGAAATGAAACCAACATCATTAATTCTACAAAAATCAGGGAACCACCACATGTATTATCTTGCCCGGTGCAATGCTGTCAGCATGTTACTTCCCATGCTGGATATTACAATGGCTCAATATTATCCCTTTTTACTTTAAAGACAATTTCACATTTCACATCTAAATTAATGGCTAATCTCAAGAGACTAATTATGTTTAATTACTTTTTATTCCTGAAGCCTTCCTTTCTCCCTACACATTCTTACCTCAAATGACGGTCAAAAACCTGAGGTGTAATCAGAGAGCAAAAGAGTTGTTATTAAACTGTAGATGCTGATTAGAACAGAGGCAGGATCTGGAACTTAATCTCTTTAAATTCGTGAGCAAAGACTCTCTAAGGCCAAAAAAAGAGGTCATGTTTGATCACTTTAAAAATCTGGCAAAGGACAAAGGTTCTGGTTCAGCTCTGTCCCTAACATGCCATGTTAAGCAATCTCTCCGGTCTTCATTTTCCTCATTTACCCATCAGAGCCTCCCTGTGCCACAGCCACACTCATACATGCAAAGGGCCCATCAGGCCCTGCCTCTGGCCACAGTTGTGGCTGAAACTGTTCGTTCATACCCATCTGGCACTCAACTTTCTCAATATCACTGATCTTTTCTGACTTTGACTTCATGCCTACCTCCTTTTACTATCTTGTCTTTTTCTTCAGACCCAAACCCTTAAAAATGCTGCTGTTCTGGATTCGCATTTTTCTTTTTGGTCAAGCTGTGTACTCACCACTTAGCTGGCCTGTTCCCTGAAGTGGGATAAAACCTGGCCCTCTCCG